TGCAAGTTCCATACGTCGTTCCACAGTTTCGTCATAAAGTTGACGGCAGCACGCAGGGTAGTGTTGTCTTTTTCGGTCAATCACGTATGGTGGCACTTGCAGGAGCTCAACCAGTTTGGTCTGGTGCAGCACTGAGCCACGATAAGAAAGATGTGCATTAATAGTTGAGCTCCGTGACCCACACGACAGTGCTACTTCCTTCAGGTCTTCGCCATCTTCTTTTTGGGCTTCTTCATTGCCGGATTGGTGCGCATGTTCAACGCCACTACCTGAACTTGCTGCGGGGCATGCCTTGGCCGTGTGTGACTGCTGTATGCCTGGCGGGCTTGGCCGTGCTGAGGTCGGCAAGCTCTGAGTGCACGAAGCAGGCACATCATTTTTCACATTGATAGATAAGGAAGCGTTTCAGCGCTTAGCTTGAAGGGTGGACGACTTGGACATCCCATCGAGCCCAGAAAGCGAGTTCTACTGCCTGCGATCAGGGTGAAGCTATGTGAAGCTGCTTCTCAAGATCAGAGCATTCGCGGAACACACTGTAAAGGTAGCTGCTTCGCTTGTGGCTTTTGTCGGATCTCGCTTGTGACATTTTGCAGCACTGTCGTCGGTTTTGGACTCCCAATCCAACATCGCGAAGCTCCAGAGCCCCGACGACCCGACGACCGGTTTGCCTCGTCCCTGTCCCGATAGCCCGCAGAAAGAACTCGACAGCACCTTTCTGGCAGTGCACGACAGCTGCCAAAACATCAGACAAGGGCCTCAACCGCTGCGAATAAGCCTATGCGACCCGTGACAGAAAAAGCCCCGCAAGTTCTGAAGAACCCTGCAGAAAGACTTTCAAGACCAGAGAGGGTCAGTTCAGGAGTAACCTCCGTACATTCATTCACAAGCAATCAATCACAGGACACACACGGATGCGGGTCCAGGTGAGGCAGGGAAATCCTGACATGATCACGCCACATGAAGCGGTCTTGTCCGCGAGTGCGAAGGGACCCCATGCTGTATCTTGTCCGTGGTTGCTGAAGGGACCTTAAATGCTTTTGATGCATCCGAAAAAGGGGCCTTTTTCGGCCCTTTCCGCGGTGCACGCGCGAAGTTTTTGCAATGCGTCTAGAGTCTGGAAAGTTCCCCTCTACGTAGCTCAGATGTCCCTAACCACCCATATAAGTAAACAAATGTGTTGCGCCAGTGGGGGTCCGTGGAAGGGGGCAGGGAAGTGATAGTGTGGCTTACCAGCGTTTCCTCCCCGTTAATCTCTGCAGCAATGACTAAATACATGAAGACTTTGTGCCCTTAACTTAAAGCCGCGGGTAGGGCTAGGATTTTGTAAATGGGTTGGCCCGCTGCGGGTCGGCGCCCCCGGGCAAGCGGCACCGGGCAAAGCACCACGCTTCGTGTCATCTCAAAAGTAGGCAGCTGCGGCTTTGAGTTGGGACCCCTCAACCTTAGCCAGTACTGTTCCTCTGAAATTTGCTCCCAGGCTCTGATGCTCACATACCCCGATAGTTCACTTGCAGAGCAAGGCAGAGCACCTGAGAGCCTGGCCGAGATGCTTTCAATGGACGACGAGTGCAGAAACCAACGAGCGTTCAATAAATATGCACCAGAACCCCAGCGGTGCCTGCAATTGCAGCCTTCAGACGCGATCTCCACAGCAAGTTGTCTCGCACTTCATGCAGGCACAACCATCCAGGAATCTAGCCACTCATCCCGAAACGTAAAAATACGTCTGCACCAGAGAAGCCGCGACTCGAAGCCAGTCGCTCGTTGTCTGCATTTCAGCAGCGCGACGCCCCTTCGCAGGCCCACAAGTCCCCGGTATCCCAAGCTCCCGGACGCCGCCGTTTCGCTCGAAAGTTCGCTGCCTGCTCCTTGCTCTCTCCGGCTCCGAAGCGCGCTGCTGGAAGGCGCCGTGGGGTGACGTGCAGGTTTTTGGGGCTTGGGGTTCAGGTCGCACCTCGGGCCTTTGTTGTTGCTTGAACTTCGGCGTTCTGCTCGGGGTGCAGTTTGACATGCTTTAGATCCACAGTCGGGCACGATTGATGTGCGTCATGGGGCGATGCTAGCCGCTGCTAGCCTTGATAAGAGGGCCCAAGCCGAAGGTGAAAGATGGCTTTCCGATCATCAACCGTTGTCCTGCAACTCGGCATCGCTGGGAGTATTTGGCAAGAGATGCGGAAGAAGTCTTCAAATGCCAAGCCCGCCAGATCCCGCCAGAGCCATCCAGAGCCAAGAAGCAGCCCAAAGCAACTCGCTAAGGCCCCTGGCAGTTGTGGTGGCTTTCCTGACCCTGGCCCCCAGCTTCGTGCCGGCAGCCAACAAGGCGGAGCCGTCCCTGAGGGGACCTGCGGTGCCTTGGCATAGCTCGCGGGAATCAGGCTTCATTTCCATCTTCCAGGTGTTTGATAGAAGAGAAGATTTTGCCAGCCGCGTCGGTTTTCGTGGAGCAGAGAGCCCTTTACCCAGGCAACCTCCGCAGCAGGCTTCGCTTGGCAGTTTGGGTTGGGTGCGTGACGCTGGTGCGGATCTGCGCAGAAGCATTCAGAGAACAGCATACTCCCTGCCGTGGGGTTGAGTTGTTGAGAAAAAGTATCGCTTCCAGTCAGCGTGATTGCAGCTCGTCGGGATGTCGTCGGGATGCGGTATCCCTCAGCCGCCCGAATCCGAAGTTTGTCGGCGGCTTGCGCCGTCTGTGGGGACGCAACCAGGGCTCTGTGTGCAGGTGCGGCCGCAGCGCTTGTCGCCGCTGCCCCTCAGCCAGCGCAAGCGTTCTCTGAGACGGAGCATCCTGGGATATCAGGGGTAAGGTCGCATGGAGGGTGGGGGTTTTCGATTGGGTTTCTAGGTTGCGGTTGCCGGTTGTCTGGAAGCGCACACGCGCTCGCAGGCTAGGGGGTGGGTTTTCCAAAATTCGTGGCCCAACGCTTGACTACTTGATCAAGTTCTTACCTGCTGCCTCCACAGACACAGCAGCCTCAAACCTAGCGACGCTGGTTCTTGGGACGAGGAGCTGAACCAGTTCGGCTTGGCGGAGAGCTCAGAGACTGAAGGCAGCACGCCGCTTACGGACTCAGAGGCTCAAGTTCAGAGGTTAGGACGACGGCTTAACGGCTGAACGGTTCACGGCTTCTGAGCAGGCTGTTTATGTAGGGGGAGTCGCTCTACCGACTCTACCGGTAGAAAGCAGAGAAGCCGCGCTAGCTGCATGCTGTCATGGAAAACACCGGACCTTCGCGATCACTGAAGCTGATGCATTCGACAAAGGTGTTTGCAATTTTCTTCCTCGGGTTCTTTATTGCTGGCTTGGTCCGCATGTTCAACGCCACTCGAATGGCATTTGGCATGCTTCGCACTGGACAGGCAGCTCTTGGCACTTTAGGTCAGGGTCGGGACACAAACGAGGCCCCCACGTGGTTCACGTGTTTCAGCTGAGGTTGGAAAGCTGTGAGTTGGAGGTGGATGTTTCTGCTCGTGAGATCAGGTTTTTGTCATGACAAGGAGCAGAGCAGGCGGAGTGCCAAAATTTCTTCTGCACTTCTGAAGTCTCAACGCGAGAGAGAAGAACTGGAGGTAATAGACAGCAGGGAGCATGGTTTGCGTTCACGGCGTTTGCTTTGGGCTCAAGAGCGGCTAGCTGCGCAGACGCGATATTGCAGCTTCTGGCCAAGCCTTGCTGCCTGTTAGCATCTTGTCTGCAAGCCTCGCTCGCACGACATGCAGAAGGTAGGTCTAGGACTTAGGCAGACTCGACATGCGACAGGTCGAAAGATGGCGCTCCGATCTGCAACGATCCTCCTGACGCTGGGCAGCAAAACTGGATGTCAATACCATCACACGCCCTGCGACCCAAGCCCCAAAGATCCGGTTGAGCCCCAAGTGCCAGCTCTCAGACGGCACCAACGTCTCAAAAATGATAGCGCGAACCTATCTCGTTTGAAGCAAGGATCCAAGAACAAGTGGCTAAGGCCCCTGGCTGTCGTGGTGGCCTTCCTGACCCTGGCCCCCAGCTTCGTGCCGGCAGCCAACAAGGTGGAGCCGTCTTTGCGGGGCTCGGCCACTTGTCTGTGATGTCGCGGGGACCTTCATTAAGGAACCAGTGCCAAACGTAACAGGCCTGGCTGCCCTGTGGGAATTCCTCCGCAGTACGTTTGCCGCATTTGCTGCGCAGCTAGCCCGAAAGCCCCTGGCGCTCAGATGGTGCACCTAAGGCTGTGCTCACCTCTGGCACCCTGGCTGTGTTAATGGATCTGGATCCTGTCCGTCGTAGTTTGGGTCATCTTCAAAGACTCGGGCGCAAGGCTGGGTTGCAGGTGTTGAAGAGGCTGCAACAATGAAGGACAATGACAGTGCCTCACAATAGTTAGCCACATCGTCATCTCTCTCGGTTTACCTGCCTTTGGCATGCTTCGGTCCTTAGGCTTTGGCTTGCACTTCTGCGGCAGTTTCAACAGAGGTGAAGTTCCCGACTGGATGTGACTAGATTAGATGAGACTGTTACAGACTCAGCGAGCCCTTGTGTGATTCAGGTGCCGCGGCTGCGTTGATCGGATCCGTTCCAGAGCCAGCGCACGCATTCTCTGAGACGGAGAACTGGAAGTTTAATGGTCAGTGTTGAACGAAGCATGAGGATCAGGCTTAAATGCCTTGACCAATACATGCAGGCATTTGCAAGTTCCATACGTCGTTCCACAG